GCAAAAATCAAGCAGCATACAATGGAGCGTGTTTTATATCAGTCTGTATAATGTCTATACGTAAAACAAACGACTGCTATTTGCCGTCAGTGTTTCAGTAAAAGATACACACCTTAAAAGTTCGCTCGGGACACGGTATGTCATTGGGGTAGCCTGTTTTCACAATAGACGATGCTCCATCATCGCATCGAGTGAATAGCTATGCTAGTTTAAACACAACGAAAAGCCGTAATGGACGAATCGTTCAAGGGGGTGTGTGTGAGGTCAATTTTAAAAATGGGCCTCTGAAATTTGAGGAAATTCGATTAAGAAGCGGAGTCACTGTAACAATGTGCTGTTTTCAGTACTCGTAAGCAGTAATAATAGATATTCGTTTTCTAAACGTTAGCAAGAAGCACTGCGCGTTATCTGAACACGCTCTCAAGGGCACGCTCTGTCCGTCTTGAACTATGACAGTCTGCTGAGACATCGATACCGCCAGTGGCCTGCTTCCTTCCCACACCCCCGCACCCTGGAGCGGCGGTTGCTATCGCGAAACTATTCTCCCACGATAAAATTTACTAAGAAAATGAGATTATCGCGACAATATGCCGGATACAATTTAGTAGCATACGTTCAAGTTGCGTAACAAAGTGGAACGTTGCCGTTACCGCAACGGCTGTAGAGTCTCGTTCGATCCGAGGCGGCACCATTCCACAGCAATCTGAACTATGCTATTATATTAATAACATATTTCGATACGTTCAACGATTTCCGAGAGTTTCATCAGATTGTGTGGCATGTTTATAACTTTAACCAGCTATCCGAAGTTGAAAAGATAACTAAAATAACACCGACTGATATTGACAGCCGTCGTAGTGTGGTAGCCGTTGTATTCCTCTTATTGAAACCACGTTAGCTATTGACCTCATCAATGGAACAATCTTTCAACAACGAGCGTTTCGATATACGACACATCTTCCTCGCTCATAGCATTGATCGGTGCACGATCTATTCATCTATATAATTACAGGTACATGATTTATCTAATTTATTTCACTCAGGTCGAGCTTCGGCATATGTTCGATTCATAAAATTTTTCTCAATATAGACGAGTTAACTGCTGTTGGTAAAGAAAGAAAAGAAGGCCAAACATTGAATGATGCTGATTCGATTTACGTCGCCTATTTTCTCTTCAGAGAGGGTGATGAAGCCAACATCTTGTTAGGGCTCGTTAGGACGTATCATAGCTCACCAGCGGCCATTAACTAGACTATAAAGCCGAGGCAGTGTTCCGCACGTACGGGCGTATGTCTCCTTTGTCGCTTTTGTCTCATTCAGCTAATACGAACGTGGTAAATCGCCAGCGTATCCGCCCCCCATGACTTTTCTTACTGCGATATTTTATATTAAGCGCAGCAGCTGCCACTGTAGTGTTCGGGATGTACCATTTTCTCCCTGTTGCAGTGCTTCAAAATAACACAGTGTTCAATCGTAATCACTGGACTTCATCGCAATGAAAACTCAATCGGCTGTCTGCGGGGGTGGCTGGATATGAGATTCATACGTTAGCGGTACGGTCACAGCTGCCAGTCCCCTTAACAGCATTACCCGCCTGGCTCGACCTATCGATAGTGCCTCTGTTCCGCGCTAAGTTTTCCTGCCTCTGCTCGCCAATAGTCCTTCGATTATTTCTAGGTTATATACATTACGCTTTCCTGTTTTGCCCACAAGACTCACCTAGACGGGAAAGGTTCGCATACATTGTCTGCTGCGAACCGTTTATAGGGCAAGTGTGGGGTATAACGACGGAGGCACAAAGCATAATTCTAGCTAAATAAAATCGTCGAACAGACCTTATTCTGCTTTTATGCGTAGAGAAAGTAAATTGGAACACCTTTTCCACGTTGTCCGCCATATCACATCAGTCGAACACTGCCACTTCACGGATTTCTAATGGTGTTAATAACTGACTGTAAAAACAGAAGTTCACTATAGTCTAAGCTGATTAGATGTGATAACATCACCATTATTAGTGCAGTAGCTTCTTAAAAACAGTCTACATTGAATTTCGATTCGTTATCTCTACTACATGAGATATATTTTGATAATGCCGCTTGAACATCGCCCATTTCTTGTTACCTACCGCACTTGTAGCTTTTTGGTCGTCCGTCTTTGGCTCTATCTGAAAATTCGTTGTTGCTGTTAATTCCTTTTTTCATTCCACTATGGTGTTGTCGTAGAAAGTTGTCGAGCGTGAACGTATGCATAGCATGGACATTATGTCCTTCTAGCGGCCGATCATCAGGAAGCGGCAGTAGTTGTCGTTTGTGTGCGTGCGTGCGTGCGTGCGTGCGTGCGTGCGTGGTGTTAGTCCGTGGTTGTAAGCAGCGCTGTCTTCGTTCCGAATCGGATCGAACTGAAGACTGAAGAACAGAAGGGGCTTGGTTATCTGCCTCGTGATACTACCTCGCATCGAATTCCGCCGCTACTGCCTGCCGACAAATAGTGCCTATGATATGCTATGGCAGGTCAGAAGCTTTGCCTAAACAATTCGGAATTAGCCTTAACAAGCCAACGAAGCCACGCACGGAAACTGCCCAAGCTGACGTTACGTTGTGCAATCGTCAACCGGCAACGGCTCGTCAACAACAGACCCAGACAACGAATGGGCCAAGGTTCGAACTAGTTTCAATTTGTGTTTTTATACACTGCCAACTGCAGGACAACTCTAGGCGGTACTCGATTTGAGAAATTATCCATTGAACCATTCGGCGTTGTCTTGTATCTTTGCTAGTACAGCTGTTACTGGACCAGCTTCTGCCTTGGCCTGAGGAGCCTGTCTTTGGTGCTGCCACTACTGATGTCCAATCCATTCGCTTGTCGCTGTCGTCCCTGGGCTCGTGCGCCATCATGTATTTTTGTCGATCTGCCGGTGTCTATCTGTGCGTGCCTGACCGTTGGTCGATTAGAAGCAGCGTTTAAATCGAATCATTCCGAAGTCAGTGTCGTACGACGCGGCCGATGGCTGGCGTCACTCGATAGTCCGAGGCGGCAAAACGCGGCAGATCGAATACGGCGGCCGCCACAACGGCAGCAACAGCAGCAGGAACAGCTGCTCCAAGTAATCGAATAAGATCAACCAACGTAGAAGAACCGCTCTTGTTAATATATCTATGTATTGGATCGCAATGAAAGCGCCGTGCGACGTTCGGCATATTGTTGTTATTGCTGGCTGGTGTTGCTGGACCAGCGGGTGATCCACCCTTTCTAATAGCATCGACGTAAAGTAAATGAAAGTCACTGCGGTTGATCTTGGCTTCAAACAAAAAGAAGACGCATTCATGTAGGCTCGGTGTAGGCCAAGCCGTACGATGCTGACGCTTTGAGCTGGCGTGTGCTGATGGCATACAGCAGGCCGTTTTGCAATGAACACCGGCACAATTGGTTCTGTCGTGTTTCTTTTTTTAGCTGGCCGCGAACCAGCTGATTTACCCTGGCACTGTCGAAAGTTACGGTACTCATCTCGGCATTGCTTTGGTTATTGGGCCGGGATTAACTATCTAATTCGCCATGCCACGCATTTCTGTCACTATCGCTGCGAGGTAAGCCCACTTCAGGAGCGTATGTACAATCATATGCTCGAGGAGTGAATGAAGGAAAGGATGTCTAAGCGTCAACCATATCGGTAGGCTACAATCCTTCCCTATGTCGTACAATTATGGATATTCATATGACGATAATACACGCCCGTGTGATTTAATGCCTATTAGCTTGCTCTGCTATGACTCTCGGTTCTGTGCATACATATGTGTATATATACGCGCCTATATTATTAATGTCCATGGTTTACGTCTGACAACAACAGTCTGCGAACGACCCGTGTGCCTGTAAGGCCCGTCATACAGTTGATCGAAGTAGCTACGATTAAACTTTACTAAACTGAAAATATCTATTTCCAATCGAACATTGCGTATTTTTTTCTAGGGCATTTATGTACGTAAATCGACCGAAGCTAACGTGCTGTTTACGTATGATGACTATCGTACACAGGTCATCGTATACGGAGCTCGGAGTGCCTTAGTATCACATTGTTTCATATAGCTGTAATGATATTGATCTAAACGTGCCATTTCGACTAAAAAAAAGGTACATAGAGATGCCTTTTGTTTATTTAAGGACTAGCTTATTGAAATCACTGTGCGAACGTGCGAGCGTATTGCTCGGAGCTACGCTGAGGGTATTAGCGTCGTCGGCGCAACCTTCATCTGATCGCATCTCCGCCAATCACCGATCGAGGCCTCGAAGACTTGGCCTGTCGTATGATTCGCTTTTGTCTTCTTTTCCTGCTATAGATTCGCTAGGCGCTATCTATAAGGTCGCTATCCTATCTGTCCTTCTTACGAACACACGGCAAATAGATGACTCCGCCTCACAGAAAACTTTCTTGGGCGAACTTTACTGAACAAAGCATTTTTCAATTTTTTTCACTCTTTTTCTTTTGTCGCACCTCCCAACTAACTCGGACGCTGCCGCCTTTGTCGCCTCTTGTAGACTCGAATAGCTGTTAGAACTAAACTAGGTTAATCCCTAACAGAGGCTTATGTCCACGCCACCCCGACCACTAAGCCGTCTATGCCTCCGGTGACATCAACCTGAGACGCGTCAATCTGAACGCCAGAGAGGATCATCCCATTGTATCTAAGGAAAGCGAAGGCCGCTAAAGCAACAGGCCCATTGGGCTCTCTCAGATGGTATGGGGCTCATGGCATGCATTCTTTGAAAAGGTCAACGCCAACGAAAATTTGCCATTGATTCATCAAACCAATTTCTAATACTACTTATACCTGATCCCAAGCTATACTATATTGATGCTAAAAACTATATATGACACAATACAATCATAATCTTATGATCACGAAGCAAGCGTACGTAAGGATTCTGTATTCTTCACTTTTATACATACTTATTTTCGACTAGCATCAAGAATTACTATAATGCTTTTATGCATTGATACGTACCAGGGGCAAACGCTGAGGAAGTATTCTGGTTTTGCATTGAGTGCTTGAGAAAACCCTCCGCCACCTCGTTAAGTCCATAAAGGGAGAGTAGTTCCTTTAACATCACGTGGGTAGTATGTGTCGTAGCAGGCAGGACCGTGGCACCGTGAAGTATTGGTCCTGGGAGGCCAGCACCGGGAGACGGTGACGCAGGCGGGGTCTGGGACCTTTTCGAAGGTTCTGGCCCGCTCAGATCAAGAGGTGCATCCGAGGTCACTGAGGCCGACAAAGCCACCTCGTCCTGCAACAACGATGTTGTTAAAAGAGTCGATATCCGCGAATAAACGGCCACGCCGACATATGTAAGCAATTTCTTGTTCATCAAATCTGGTCTATACGGCTTTCAATCAAATTACGACAGCCATGCGAAATTGACACAGACTCAGCCCTTTCTACATATTTGCCTCTTAATTAACTCTGTAAAAAAAAAACGCGCACAATATATGACGATGTCGATGACAATAATAATAATTCAACTGTTTTTGGCTATTACTGTGCTAGCTGCTGTACCTGCTGGATGTTTTTGGGCTGAAAGTTTTTGCGTTTATTCAAGCTACGACTTGCTAGCTGAAGTTGATTCTGAAATGCCATCTGCTTTTGTTGTTGTTGTTGTTGGTGTTGCAGCTCCTGCAGTTGGTCCTGCAGCTGTTGAGATAAACGTGCCCGACTGGTTGCGTCGTCTGTTGCAGACGGCGTTGTCGTCTGCTCTCCATGTGCATCGGCTTGTAATCCAATGCGATCCACGTCGGTCATTCCGTTATCGGTATGACCTAGGTCATTGCTATCGGGGACATCGGAGGTGGCGTTGTTGTTCTCGGAAATCCGCCTTGGAGAGTTTGGGGATGACTTACTGCCAGACGGTCCGCGCGGTGACGAGGGACACGAGCTTTCCGATTCCGAGGCTTTCGCTACCGTTGGACTTGCTTTATTTGTCTTAGTCGTTGGCGAGACGGCTATGGGCAGATTCACAGCCGATGATGATGATGACGTTGTTGCTATTGTCGTCGTCGTCGTCGGAGCAATGTCGTCGCTATTGATGTGGTTATGATTGTGCAGATGCTGCTGCTGTTGTTGTTGTTGTAAGGCAGCTGCTGTGGCAGCAGCCGCGACGGCGGTGCACGAGGTCTGCACGAGCTGGGCCAGTTGGACACTGCCCGGCTGTACGACGCTACTCGGCGCCTCGGTCGCCAGCTGCAGCGGCATTGCGGTCATACCACCACAGCCACAACAACGACAGCGAGAATTCGACCGGCTGTAACCGACATCGGACTTAGGTGGACAGGTCACGAGTTGGCCTAGGCACCGTAGGCTATTGTTGATCAATTCTATTAGGTAAACAAAAAGACAGAGGAAACGCAAACGAGTTAATATGAGCTAAATCCATTATACCTGGGTTAGTAAGTATATGATTTGTTACGTAGCGATTATATAAAAATACATAGGCTTCCATGTTTCTTCGCATATTGTGTAATGTATGGCGCCTGCTGGAACAGATGTGTGTATGTTGGCGCTTTGAACTCGTGCTGTTGTAGATAGGGGCACTATTACTAACTCATACTGCTATCGACTTATCGATGAGTTGGTATTAAATCACTTTTCCTATGCAGCCGCCGTTGCTCATGACCGTTCAATACTCATCATCTTGGTTAAGCCTGCGTAGACATAGACTATTTCCGTTATATTATCTGGGCGTTCACAGTTCACCATTTACCATATACATATATA